GAAAATGATGATGCTTCTGAAAAAAGTACCTTTGAGCGCTTCAGGACACCAAACCTTATATCTACAAGGCAGCCTGGGCGCCTGTTTCACGTGTGCGATTTTTAGACTGATGATAAGGACGGATTGGCCGTTAAAGCACCGCGAAGTGGTGCTGGAATCTGGTGGTGGAACTGGAGGAGTAAATGTAGACTCTATTTTTCGTGTTTCTGTAGCTATTAATTTGTCTCAGGAAGACAGATTAACACGGCGCCCGCCGTATCGTGGCACTTGCAGTGGCCGCCGCCGTTCGGTTTTACGGAGGCTGCAACCCAGACCATCGCTGTCCTTACTCTCGAGGTTGCGGGGGGGGGGGGCATGCTCAAACCTTTTGATGCACTTTTTCACTAATCCATTTCGAATAATAAACGTTCTCAGGCAAACATGGGACAGCCTTTTTCGTTTTTTTTTTTAGAACTCATTTCCACCTACTCTATTCAACAAAAATGAGACCTCTACCCCACTTAGCAATAATGATGCCCCTTATTTCCTTCCGGCCAAGGAGCCCCTTGAGTAGAGCACCAAAGACCCATTACCGGTTCCGGCCAAGAGCTGAAAGGCCACCCCGTCCCATCGCGAAGCGTCTTCTGGCTGTCATTCTAGCGACATGGGGCGGGATCTCCCGGTCGATCCGGAGGCCATTGGAACGATATATCATATTACAATGTTCCCCTCCCTGACACGGGAGGCCTTCTCACCCGCGCAGTTGGCCCCGGATCAGCACAGGGACCCTAATTGACGCAACAACATCCCTGATCGCCAAAGGTGGTCCAATAATTGTCACACAGGCTCCAGTGCCGTGTTTTTCCGTTTTCCTCAGAGATATTGAGAAATCTTTGAACGTAGATTGGAGATGAAAGGGTCCTCAACCTGTATTGACATGGCTAATCCATGCTCGTCTCAAAATGCTCAAGATTCAGTCAGAATTGATTGCTGATAAAAAAACTATGCAATATGGTTTTGAACGTACGCGACGCAACTAGCAACAACAGCCTGAACGCCCGGCGATGCAGTCTCAGCAGGCCGCCTGGTGTCGGCCTGTGGCCGTGACACTGAACGATGGCCAATAAGCAAACAAAAAAGATGAAGCCTCTTGAGGAACATGGCTGGTGAACTAGGTAAATTGGCATGTATATAAAGGTTCACTCCTGCGAGTTCTCCAGTGGCGGTCAGAACCGTAAACATGCATCAACCGCCCGCAGCTCAGCTCAACTCAGGTCAGGTCAGGTCAGGTCACGCTTCCGGTCCGGTCAGGTCCCGCATCGGCTCAGCTGGCCGCGACCTTGGCGGAATAGTCGTAGCGGAGGTGGACTTGCTCCAACGCAGGCTTGGCCTCTATGATGGCGCCATCGCTGTCGCTATGCATTCGAGCTTGACCTTTTCGCCGCAAGATGTCGAGCCCCGAGATCTGGCCCTGGTGCAGATGTACGCTTCCAGTCGAGTGGTCGGGAATTGAGAGTAACTCCTCTCCATCGTTTTTCAGCACGCTGGTGACATTGTGTAAAAGTCATGTATCAGTCAAGGCATGTATAGTTAAATGCGGTGCAAAAGCGAGCTTAACACAACCTTAATCTGAAAAGTGGGGAGGGGGCAGTTAACACTGCTGCCCCCCCCCCCCCACCTTGAAAAGTGGGGGGCCATGGCGCGCTGAACCCCCCCCCCCGCCCCTGTTCCTACGCCCATGGTTATCACCAATGCAAGTATTCCCTCCCGATAAGTTATTTCTTCCTGACGTGATAAATTCCGACGTGACAGTACAAGGCACGAACAGTTCTGGTGCATGCGAAAATATGAAATGATGTGGGCGCCCCATGTGGGACACAGCTGCAGCCCAGTTAAAAGGCCACCTGCAGCCCGTGTCCACATTAACCCAGTTGCCCCACGTTTAAACCATTTGGGCCCCATTTGGGAATGCTGGCTGGGTTCTCTTCATGCTGACGAGTTGACAAAGAATCACGGCATCGTCGTGAGCCGGAGCATGGCGTAACATGCCGCATGACTTTTCCGTCACGTGACGTGAAGTAGCGCGAATACTGGGCCGTGACTGGTGCTGACAAACATGCTGGTAGCAGATCGAACGCGGCCTTGGGCAGTTCTTCTCCTACCATTGTAATAATAGGGGCCCGTTCGATCTGTCGTCAGCACGATTGTCAGTTGAAATGCGTGACGCCATGCGTGATAACGGTGCGTTCGATATGTAGGCTGACGGAAAAGTTTTTAATTGTACTTTCCCTTCTTCCTTTACTTTCCACTTCAGACCACATAGTAAGGCCCGGTTTTATCTGTCGTCATCATCATGTCAGTTGGAATGCGTGACGGCGTGTGTGCTGACGGTGCGTTTGGTGTGTGGACTGACGGGAAAGTTTGTTAACTTTGCCTTCCTTTCTTCCTTCACGTTTTACTTCAGACCGCACACTTCTCTGCCTTACCTCTGACACACTGCGTACAAAGTGGTGTTTGGAAGTGTGGCTTCAGCTGCTCCGGCATTACCACAATCTCGCCCACGCAACAGTTACAAAATCAAACTCCCGCTAAGTCAGAGTGACTTTTTATCTGGTAGCGCTTTCTCTCCATGCTGACGGGCTGACAAAAAAGTCTGACCCCGTTCGATCTGTCGTTAGCACGGAGCGCGCGACGCCAGGCGTGCTGACGGAACGTTCGGTGTGAGGGCTGACAGGAAAGTTTGTATTACTGCTTTCATTCTTTATTTGCCTTTCATTTTAGTCTGCACACCAGCTCTGGATTACCGCCGATATTGACACACTACGTACAAAGTGGTGTTTGGAAACGTAATTTCTGTTTTGGTACTACCATCAGCTATCCCATCCGTATGCTGAGTACTTCTTCCCATTTCTAGTTCATTTTAATTTCTTCTCTCTCATTTGTGTGTTTGCTTATGCCCCCGTTTCATGCGTTGTCAGCGACACAAGCACTACCATGGTCCCGTTCGATCTGTCGTGAGCGCGATCGTCAGCTGGAATGTGCGAGGTCACACGTGGTCGGGAAACGTTCGATGTGTGGGGGTGACAAGAAAGTTTTTAATCTTTACCCTCCCTTCTTATTTTTTTCTTTTACTCCAGTTCACACACTAACGCTGGGGCCCCGTTCGATCTGTCGTCAGCACGTTTGTCACCTGGAATGCGCGACGCCACGCGTGCTGACGGTGCGTTGGATGCATGGGTTGACAGAAGATTTTTTAACTTTACTTTTTCTTCTTACTTTACCTTTTACTTCAGACCACACCTTAACTCTGGCTTACCGCCGACATACTGCGTACAAACTGGTGTTGGGAAGTGCGGCTTCTGCTCTGGTATTACTAACATCTGATCGCCCACTCGTGTGTCAAATACTTCCTCCCATTTTCAATTCATTTAAGTTTCTTCCCTCTCGCTTTAAGAGTTATTATCTATAACACTGTAAATTTACTGGGCAACGCAACCTCACACCACATCAATCACTGTCACTCCCCTTTTCACGGCTACTCTTGGCATTTCAATTTCGTCCCTGTCTATCTCGCGCCACATTTCCCACAAAATTAGAGGCAAGTGTCCCCGCCCTACCAAACGTACTCGCCGACACAAAAGTCACCAAATAAACTCCCGCTTCAGTCAGAGGGATTTTGTTATGTAGAAACATTTTCCCTCCATGCTGACGTGCTGACAATGAGTCCTGGCATCATCATCAGCCGATGCGTGACGTAACAGGCCACTGACAGTGTGGTCACGTGACGTGACGTAGGGCGAATACAACGAGCTGACGACAGATTGAACGCAGCCTTTAACTCAATCAATTTTTACTACGTAACGCAACCACACACGACACCAACCCCTGTCACTCTCCTTTTCATGGCTACTCTTGTGTGTAATCTACCTTGTCTTGTTTGGAAGGTACCTTGTCCATCTCACGTCGCATTCCCCCCCCCCCCCCCAAATTAGAGATAAGCAGCCCCACCACACCGAGCGTACTCGCTACCTAGGCCGCGTTTGATCTGTCGTCAGCACGTTTGTCAGCAATCATGGCGCAGTATTTTTCCCATGTCACGTCCCGTGACCACAAATAACGTGGCCAGTTACGTCACGTGCCGGTTGACGATCATGTCAGGATTTTTTTTCAGCCCGTCAGCGTAGAGAGAAGGCGCTACCAGATTAAGAAAGCACCCTGAAGCAGGAATTTGGTGTGGTAGCTCTTGCGTTAGAAACTTTCCCGCCAGCCCACACATCGAACGCACCGTCAGCACGCATAACGTCCCGCATTCCAGATGACAATCGTGCTGACGACGAATCGAACGGGGCCCAAATGAAACTCCCGCTTCAGAGAGAGTGATTATCTTAATCTGGTAGCGCTTTCTCTCCATACTGACAGGCTGACAAAATATCCTGATATCATCGTCAGCATTCGCGTGATGTTACAGACTGCGTGACGTTGTGGTCCTGTGACGTGACGAAGGGCAAATATTGGGGCGTGATTGGTACTGGCAAATGTGCTGAAGACAGATCGAACGCGGCCTAAGCGAACATTTAAGGTGAGGGAGAAGAAATGTAAATAAATAAATAAAAATCGACCAAAGCTATCAATATATGAATGGGATTGATGATGGCAATACTGGAACAGAACCCACACTTCCAAACACCACTTTGTAGCTATTGGGTCATGGCTGGCGGTAAGCCAGAATTGGTGTGTGGTCTGAAGTAAAAGGAAGGGAAGAAAGGAAGCAAAGTATAAAAAAACTCCCGTCAGCTCACGTATCGAAACGCAGCTATATCTATGTATCGGGCGCTCCGTCAGCACGCATGACGTCCCGCATTTCAGCTGACAATCATGCTGCCGACAGATCGAACGGGGCAAAAAAATTCTGGCATGGTCAGCCGGCGCGTGACGTCACAGGTGACCTTACGTTGTAGTCACGTGACATAACGGTGGGAAAATATTGGACCGTGATTGGTGGTAACAAACGTGCTGACGACTAATCGAACGGCCCAAGACTACCGATAACGACGTTGATGCAGCAATATCGGCGCAGCACTCCGGTCCGCCCTGTTTTTGAGGCCCGTGCTTGCTGAGGTGGTTTCCCGGCGCTGATTAAGATAAGGATTTTTGAGAACGTGGCACTCATTCTTTGGGATTTCATCGATAAACTTGTTGTCTAAAAGCTCATCATGAGCGGCGAAAAGGACGTTGAAGACACCAAGTTCGATATTGCCAAGGTGCTCGCCAACTTCAAGAAATGCAGAGAAGACAACGTGGGTTCCCTGACTCTGGAGGGTTATATAGCTGGCTATCATGAACTGCACAAGTGAGCACCAACCATCAAAAATGCCTATGGTTTTTCAATGTTTGATCCATTTAATGAGCTGCTTAGTTATTCTTATGTTGGTGACATGATTTGGATATTGTTCATGCTATAAATTGCCATGCTCTTATGTGTGACCCTGGTGGGAATGTAAATGTTTGCCTGGTGCATTCCCAGTGTGATTCTGTTGTTGTCTGGTGCTGCATGAATCCTGCTCAGTATGAATATAGTAAGGAGCCTTTTACAAAGAAGAGACATTGATAATGTACAGGTGCACCTATAGGAACCACATGTACAAAGTTCCTGTTCTAAATTAGCTCCTTCTAACCACACCCTGAATGGTGGAAACTGGTCCATGTGGTAGTATATGCCATACAATGCTGCAATCCAGGAGGCTGGTGTCAGCTGGTATTATGGTCAGTTGTTATCATTCAGTGTCAGTGGGTCTCCAAAGTGTATATGTTACTGCTGATGAGTTATGACAGCATGATACTAGTACTTTCTGGTAGTTTAACACACCTGAGGCCAGACTGCAGGCAATATAATTAATGGGGTACATGGCCATGTAGCAGCAACACCCCAGCAACAATTTCAGTGAATGCATGATGTAAATGCATAAGCCCAGAGATTGGTGCATTCACCACCAATGTCAGCACATTTAGAGCCAATGTTTCAAAGAACTATGATGTTGCTAGGCTATGTCAAGCAGGAGTGCCCCAAAACTTGAAAACATTGGGGCACTCCATAATAGCTGGAAAATTAAGTTCAGTTTGGCATTGCCCTGGTTTGGTGCACAGAGGCTCTAACCTCATTGTGCTGACATCATGTCAGTATTTGTTGAGCTGGATGCTTTTTTGCAGGGTGTCCCCAAAAGCTTTCAAAATATAAACAGGAGCCTTGATGAAAGAGGAAACCCTTAGCCCATAGATTTCTTCTGAATTAAAAAAGAGCTTTTGTGGTGACAATGTGAGGCACCTTTGGCTGAAAGGGTCCCATTGGCTATATTCAGCTTTCTCCTGGACAAAATTCTGGCTATGTGAAGGTTGTTGGTATGCCTCAGTTCACCCGCAATTGGCAATTCACTGACAAAATAACCTAGCAGCCCTCCATAACCCATAACCATTATATTTCATATAAGGTTCAAGAAAATCAGTGTTGTAGTTGACTTTCAGATTTGGGCTACAGGGTACAGCACAAGCTGAATAAATGGTGGAAAGGGGAGGCATGAAGCCTTCACAACTAAATATTGAGCACTATCCAGTTATGTTGCTGTATTTTCTAGAGATTCGCAGCAGTCTTGGCTCTGCTTGGTGCAATTATGCACCTTACCGCTGTCCATCTAAACCTGCACCATGTGTGTTGAGATAGCATCTTTCATCAGACTTGTACAACCTTTATCACAGACTTAGTCCATCTTCCATGATCTTATGGTTTCAGTATAAAGGGTCTGACTATGCAATTCTTCCAATACAATCTTTATTACTGGTGATCATTTACCTGTATCCTATATATCCTATATTTTTTGTGTGAACTTTTGCATTTCAATTTACATGAATGGCCATGTGATTCTGTAACAATCTTAACTTGCCATGATCCTTTGCACATGTTTTTCATTTTGCCAGGCATTACCGGGGTTGTTTGTCATATCTCATTTGTGGCATGGAATATTTTACCATGACCATCTATAGAAGGCTGTGTTCTATATGATCATGTACCCTAACATCATGGTATCTGCTGATCTGCAAATGCACCAGTATTACCCCTCATTATGTGAGACACATTTTAATGCTCATATTGTGGGTCTTTAAGTGGAATTGCATCCAAAAGGGAGCCTTCGGTCTGTGCCCGTGATACCCGTGCCTGCATCATTTTGGTGGGTTGGCCGTTTGACTGACAACTGGCTCAAAGCTATCTCACAGTTTGGATCACTTGGGAAGTAGAGTCAGTGTCCATACAAGGGGCTAGCCTAATGTATGCTCTGATCCCAAATGCAGTGAAACTTAAGAATAAATACAATTAATTTCTGTAGTGAAACATAAAAGCATGCTTGGAAGGCACATGGTAAGCAATGCACTGTAATAAGAAAGTGATGAGGTCATTTTGCAGCAATGAACAGTAGCTGGTTTCTAATTGGGTGCAGTTTGTTATCCAAGTGTCAATTATTTTGTGGCAGCCAGCTGCACTTATCACATATTTAAGGCCATGTTAATAGACAAATAAATGAAAGATGATTCATGCTAAATAGCAACTAATCAATTAGATATAACAGATTGTGTGAGAAGATCATTCAAGCTGATTGATAGCATGCTGACACAATCCTGTGTGGTTGAATATCAGCTGAGACATTTGTGTCTGGTGCTGGGTGGCAAAATTTTGAGTGGTGTGTGAGTTAGTGTAAAGCATGTGCAAAAACTCAAAACAAAGTGATAAGACTGGCCAATTGCTTGAGTAATTTATGGCAGATTGTAAAGCATGTGTGAACTTTGTGCTGTGTGAATTTCATCGATGTGCTTGATGTACTAATGCATTGTGCAATCTTTTAAGCTGCTTTTAATGTTGCCAAAATGGGTGCACCTTTTTAAAATCATGCTGTGGTAGCTAAGCTTTGGGGAATGACAGGGGCAAACAAGGACTTTCATTGCTTCCTTTCATTCAGCATAGCACTAAGCTTTGTGTTAGCTTTATGGAAATGGGTGGCTCTTGCCCCAGGGCCCATTCTTCCACCCTGTCCTGAGAACACTTGCAAAACTCTAGCTCAATGACAATAAAAGGAGTGCTCTGTCACTGAATCCTTGACATGAGTGCCACTGTTTTCACGACCACAACTGCTGTTTTTTTTTTGCGTTGGCTTTCCAATTTTGCGTTTTGTTTTTAGACCGTCGGATGTTATCTATAGCTACCGCCACAGGTTTTTCGGCCAGCTCGGTGCCGTGTTCGGCTTTGTCGGCTCAGACGTGCAGCAGAAGCTCGTTCAGCTGGAGTGTTTACGAAAGAGTGGCGCCGCTGAGAGCTACGTCACCGTCCAGGCCATGATGGATTATGAGAAGAACAACGGAATACTCGAGTCGGACAAGGCTGGCAACGGTTGTCGCACATTACTCCGACTGCATCGGGCCCTCGGTGAGTCAGCTGATGGGCACAGCTCTGTAAGCTCGTGGTACCGACCGTGCTTCACCGTCTTAATGTGTTGTACTAGACTGTTCTGAAGTTCTCATTTTGTATCAGCCATTCGTCAGACATGAACACTTTGTTGATTCTGCTGCATGACGTCACGCCAAAGTTTGTCTCTACGTCTGCCAAAACTCAGGGCCAACCAGCTGAAAAAATGGCGGACAAAACTGTAAACCTGAACTGATCTAACTGTGGTTGCCATAACTATCGAGTGAATCAAACGCAACCTGACGCCGATCACCCGCAACGACCACGTGATAGTCGCGGGGCCATAGCCCGAGTCGGGCCCGCCCCGCTTACGGCACGCTCTCCGGGGCCGCAGCGTTCATCGCCGACTTTCTGCGGGAGCTGCACGACCGCGCTGACGAGCAGAAGATGGCGTCCGTGTGCCAGGACTCGTACAAACGCACGCTGGCCGTGCACCATCCCTGGCTGGTCCAGAAGGGCGCCCTGCTCGCCATGTACACGCTCGGCACGCGCGGGGACATTGTCGCCAAGGTGAGCCGCGGTTGCCCGCCAGTCGTTTGGTCGGGGAACTCTCACCCAGCCGCGTGTGCCGGGATGCGCCAAATGCTTTACAGATGCTCTCCCACATCAGGGCTCACGGACCATCATCAGAAATCACACGGTATCGAACATTTCGTATCAAACTGCGGAAACGAGAAGAGGCGTAAAACTTAAGCTCGGGGGGGGGGGGGGGGTAAAGCAGCTACCTGACTTTTAGGATGCTTTCGGCTTGATGAGACACGTAAACGTTATACCTGACCATTAGAAGGTGAGTTATTGAGTTTTAAGGGGCGCGTCGACTGCATATACTTGTACACCAATGTGCCAATACCAATACCTGACCGAGTATGTCATGAGACGTCACGTGCTGTGCCGACGCGGGGCTGCCTGTGTGACGCGTTCCAACACATGGGCGCGTTACCAGCTGCACTGACCGCTGTTGTGGCGTTCGCTGTCTGCTGCCGCGCGCGAGCAGACAGCGGGCCGCCGCCGGCGGCGGCCCGTGGGCAGCGGTGCGCCATGTGCCCCGCCCGGTCCCTGAGGCTCTGGCCCTGACGACGACGGCCGTTGCTGCAGGCGGTCGGTGAGGATCCGGCCGAGCGCGAACAGGGCAAGGCCACGTTGCTGGAGTGCGTCGACACCATGCAGGACGTCTACAACACCATGCAGGGATTGTACGAAGCCAACGGACTAGCCGACCTACCCTAGCGCTCTGTGGTAGAAGCAGCCGACCGATTCCTGGGCGAAGGCCAGATTAGACCACACTTAGTCTCGGGGTTTTGTCGTATTTTGTTCTTGTATGGTCCCTTATCGTTTACTACTCGTGTGTTATTTAGCTTTGAAAGGTGCAGCCATCTTGCTTATATGGTGGCACGTCTGTTCGTTTTTTAAAGACATGATGTTGGGTACTGTCATGGCGCTAAACCCAGTCGGTACGCCATTGTTGGCAGTGCTGAGCGCGTGATGTGTTCATTGAGGGTCTCGGCGTTACCTTGGTAAGTCACTTTTGCCGGGCTTTGTTTTGTTTGGTTTATTTTTATTTTTACTGGTGCTGGCGTTTTTCTTGGATGCCGACTGTCTTTAGCTGTCGTTCGTTTTCCTTTTTTGGTGAGCTTTGGGGTGTGCGTAAAGCAAAGTTATGGAGATATTTGTGTGCACAGATTTGTGTTTGTGTTCTGAACAAAATTTTGTAGGCCATATACACGGGTTGCTGGCCGCTGGCCCGAAAGGCAGTGGCTGTCAGGCTGTCAGCCGTTACGCTGCCAGGGAAGGTTTCCACATGCGACTAGCGCGTCCCAAACCTCCGCCCGTGACTTGCGCTGTTAAAAAGGAAATCGGAGCACCCTGGTTACTGTGTTGAGACAACGAGGCCAGAACTTATGTTGTTCTAAAACCAGGACCTGAAGTTAAACTGTCGGAGCGCGGAGGGATTACCATTGGCTTTATTGGCGTGTCGCATTTTTCTGTGCCTACACCAGCGGTGCTTTAGGGAGCATTCCCATGTGGAAGCCGCGGGCGAGGCTGTCCGTCAGTTCGGCTCTGCCTTTCGAGAGTCGGTGCTGCGACGCGTGAAAAGCATACTACAGAGGCATCTGTAATGCGATTGGAGCGCTTCGTGTGCGACTGCTGCGTAGTTACTTAGGATCAATGGCTGTGTAGATGGCCTGCGTATCATCTGCGTACACCGCCACCTCCAACAGCGAAAGCACAGCACAGCAACTAGTCCAATTAGCTGTAGCCCCCCGCTCTCTTGTTTCCGATGGGGCCATTCCGTGTCTGGAGTCTGGAGCAGGGCACGGTGCCGAGAGCAGACCCACCATGACTTGGCCGCCGCGGACGCCACCGGCCAAGCCACCCCGTCCGAACACATTCCTGGCCTTACGTTCCAGTGGGCGCGCGGGCGCTCATTCTAGTCGCCAGTGTAACGTGCCGCGCCCCTATCATCACTCATGTTGAAAGCGACCCACGGTTGAATGTATGGGGACGGCCGAATTAGGCGCCCGCCATGCTCTGCCGGCTTCCCCGGGCACTGGACGGGCCGTAGCTGCCATGGAGCGGAGCGGAGAACCGTCCCGACGGGTTGTCCACGGCCGGACAGCCGACAGCTGTGGCGGCGGCTGAGATGTGTCGCGTGGTCCGGCGAGGTCGCGTGTTGTCGGCGCACAGGGGACCGATGGTCGACACTGCCACCGCAACGACGTGGGACCACTTCGAGCCCGCCGCCTTCCAGCCATGTGATATTGACGAGGCGTGTTTGTCGTTCCACCCAATGTGTGCCGCTCTCATCTGCGCAGGCGCAGAACACACCAGACGCAACCCGATGTACTGTGTGGAAGGCGGCGCTGAATAAAACATGTGGCCGTGATCGAGGGTTCAGTTCCGAAGGACCGAAGTGTCCTCTGGCGTTGGAGTGGTACGCACTGCCCCGACGTGAATCTCCGAGCTAGACAGAACAGTGACCCGGCCTTGGTCAGCCGGTGCTCTCGCCTACTTCCGGCAGAGTGTTAACGTGCGACTATTACATGGTTGAATTCACTTTCAGACCCATAACCTCAGAGCGCTACTAATCGTTCAGACCCATAACCTCAGAGCGCTACTAATCGTTCAGACCCATAACCTCAGAGCGCTACTAATCGTTCAGACCCATAACCTCAGAGCGCTACTAATCGTTCAGACCCATAACCTCAGAGCGCTACTAATCGTTCAGACCCATAACCTCAGAGCGCTGCTAATCGTTCAGACCCATAACCTCAGAGCGCTACTAATCGTTCAGACCCATAACCTCAGAGCGCTACTAATCGTTCAGACCCATAACCTCAGAGCGCTACTAATCGTTCAGACCCATAACCTCAGAGCGCTACTAATCGTTCAGACCCATAACCTCAGAGCGCTACTAATCGTTCAGACCCATAACCTCAGAGCGCTACTAATCGTTCAGACCCATAACCTCAGAGCGCTACTAATCGTTCAGACCCATAACCTCAGAGCGCTACTAATCGTTCAGACCCAAAACCTCAGAGCGCTGCTAATCGTTCAGACCCATAACCTCAGAGCGCTACTAATCGTTCAGACCCATAACCTCAGAGCGCTACTAATCGTTCAGACCCATAACCTCAGAGCGCTACTAATCGTTCAGACCCATAACCTCAGAGCGCTACTAATCGTTCAGACCCATAACCTCAGAGCGCTACTAATCGTTCAGACCCATAACCTCAGAGCGCTACTAATCGTTCAGACCCATAACCTCTGAGCACCACTGACAACTCAGACTTATAATCTCAGAGCGCAGCTGGTCAGCAGATTTTTTTATATCAGTGTTACACAGCTGTCAACGCCCCTTATTCCGTCCGCAAGTCCTGAAACCATTTCCGGTTCAACCCAAGCAGACGCTGCAAGTGCTGACATATACTGTATTGGACGAACGTCACCACTGCCACAGCACGTACACTGAAGGACATACGAAACAAACGTCGTAGGATGGCCTGGGTCCAAGGCAAGCATTCCCAAGACACTCTCAGGCCAGCTCGCGTTACACAGCCACCAGCGACGACTTCATTCAGGACCGAGCTCGTGGAACCCATCGGAGCTTTAGGACCAGACTATAGAAAACATCCATGCTTATAGCATCCTCGCAAGTTTACAAAAACAAAGTCACCTCAAAGTATTCTAGATTCGTATGAACTACCATATGCTCTAGTGCCGCCGTCGCCTCTGTCCGCGGGGAATGGAGAACTGTGCCTCTGGTTTCCCAGCTGCGCGGCTAAGCATTTTGGACGTCCCTGAGCGACGTTCCATTCCACGATGATGACGTGGATTCAGTAAAGTCCAATTATACATGGTCCCGACGTTAGACCTTGTCATTGCTGCTGGCAGTCACGCACAGGTCAGTCACATTTAATTTAACTAAAATGCACGGAAGTGGCAGACATTTAAAACCAAGAACAGACGGTTTCAGGCACCCACAAGGTAAAACACATTTTCTTTTCCTAGCGACCAACCGACCTTAAAACGTTCTCGTGAAGAAAAGCACAACACAAGCTTCCCTCTCTCCCAAACCGACCTAGCGCGAGCCAGTGACATCCTTCACCGCCGATGTGCCCGAACCACGGCCGCACATCACCGCTGACATCTACCATCGACCAACACCTACGGAGGACAAAAAAAAAAAAAAAAAACGCCAAGGACGACACGCTCTATGGGACTCTGATCCCACGCGGCCAAGCACCGCTGGCGCACCGCCTGATTCCGCACCTGCACGCGCGGGAAACGTGCGTAAATGAAAGACATCTACGTAAGCCTCATTCCGTTCAACCCTTGGCCTGCCCAACGATGGGATGCCGAACATTTGTTTCTTTGAAAATCTCCAACGTTTCTTTTCAAACACCAGGCCTTCCGAATATTGCGCTTGTGAACACGCACCGCGAACTTTAGCAATCACGCTCCATGTCGCCATTGTCCGTAGCGTTGAACTCATTTATGGGTTAAACCCCACGGCCACCGCAGTCTGCAGGCGTGCATGTCCGTTAAGTAAGCACCGCCGCCATCAGCGGTGGCAGTGGACTACCAACGCCTCTCGGAACTTCCAGGACAGACACCGGCGCTCAGGGGTCAGCCCAGGGCAGACAACAGCGCTCAAGGGTCAGCCCAAGGCAGACACCGGCGCTCAGAGGTTACTCCAGGGCAGACACCAGCACTCAGGGGCCAGCCCAAACGTGCGTAACGTGCGCTCAGAGGTTACTCCAGGGCAGACACCAGCACTCAGGGGCCAGCCCAGGGCAGACGCCAGCGCTCAGGGGTCAGCCCAGGGCAAACATCAGCACTCAGGGGTCAGCTCCGGGCAGACGTCAGCGCTCAGGGACCAACCCAGGGCAGACACCGGCGCTCAGGGGTTACTCCAGGACAGACATGAGCACTTAGGGGCCAGCCCAGAGCAGACACCAGCACTCAGGGGCCAGCCCGGGGCAGACACCAGCGCTCAGGGGTTACTCCAGGACAGACACCAGCGCTCAGGGGTCAGCCCAGGGCAGACACCGGCGCTCAGGGGTTACTCCAGGACAGACAAAAGCGCTCAGGGGCCAGCCCAGGGCAGACACCAGCGCTTAGGGGCCAGCCCAGGGCAGACACCAGCGCTCAGGGGTTACTCCAGGGCAGACACCAGCGCTCAATGACCAGACTAGGGCAGACACCAGCGCTCAGGGGCCAGCGCAAGGCAGACACCAGCACTCAGGGCCGCACACGGAGCCGACCCTCCGCCCCACTCGGCGCTCGCGCCGGTGCCCACTCAGGGATCGGCACGTGGGCAGGTGCCGGTGCCGGCCTGGCCGCAGCCGGCTACGCCACAGGCCGACGGCCGGGGCGGCGGTGGCCGCGGCGCCGGCCGCCCGCCGCGCCCCACCAGCTGGTAGAAGAGGTGGCGGTCGTGGAAGTGATGCTGTTGGCGCAGGTGGCGCACCACCCGGCCGTCCACCAACCGGCGGCCGTACTTGGTGGCCTCTGTGCGGTCCGGGGCGAGACCGCGCCGCATCAGCCAATCCACCAGCTCCTGGCCGGTGAACACGTGCCGGTACAGCTTCAGACGGTGCCTGCGACGGAGAGGCGCGTCAGGGACTGCGCTCAGGCCGGGCCCGCGCCCGTGTACACGGCAGATGATGTCCAGCTGATGCCGACGTGCCACTTCTAAATAGACACACATATCAATTGACACGATGTACGAAATCCTCGCAAGCGTAAGATGGTCTCGTTGCACGTGATCAAAGACAAGAAAGAGACCCTGGGACATCAGCCCAGTACCGTATCAACAGCAAGAAGTGAACTCCCAGGCAAGACATTTTTTACATTACTCCGGGTACTTCGAGCGAATAATGGGATACATATCAAAACATTGGGATGGCAATACACGACATTTACATCATACGGCCTGATTCTGTATGTTTATCAGACGAGATTGGTGATGCAAACAACGCCAGAAGACCGCCTTAGTGTGGCCGCCCGTGCTCCCCGCGTCCGCGCCGTACCGTCTGTCCTTGACCAGACTGCGTCGACACTGCTCCAGGTGGTAGTCGATGAACTGGTTGCACGTCTGCCGCGTCTCCGGCTCCAGGTCAGCCATGTCCGGCAGGTGAACGGCATCGGAGCCCCACAGCAGACGGCGCCACCTGCGCGGCAGACACGCCAGTACACAGGCGGCAGCGGCGGCGGCCGCACGCCAGGCCCTCAGTCGCAGCCGCTGGCCACCAGATCAACTGCCGCTAGACACGCGTGGGACGCCGCGGCTCGCGTTCCCACTCCAACCCATCGCCCATCCCCTCTTTTTCAGCTTGCAGCGTATCAAGAGCCACCCCATCCCAATGCGTGTCCAGTCTGTCTCGTCTCGTCCCGTGTCCGCGCCCGTGTCCGTGTCCGTGTCCACGTCCGTGTCCGTGTCCGTTCCGTCCCGCCCCGTTTGCTCACCATTGCACCACCGGCAGAACGATTAGCTCGTTGTCGAGGCCAAACAGCAGGAACACGAACACGCCCTGGCCGAAGTTCAGCGCGCCGTCCAGGAAGTCGACTACGACGTATACGCCGGTCATCGTGTCCATGACGAGATTCCACACAGACAGGAACAGACCCTACGGCAAACAGGCATCGTAGCGATCACGAGGGTCCAGATGATTGGTAACAGTGTACCAAGCCATGTCTACGAGCAGGCCACACGATAGAAAAAGTACCTAAGTTCTTATTCCGACAATACATATGCCAGCACCTGCGGCAATACACGACCACCACCTGCAGGTGCTGGTTGGACGAAGCTATCAAGTAAGCAAGTTCAAGATATATGCAACCCAAATCATAATACTATTCGATGAAACTCGAATCGTAACTAATCATTGCTAGCATACAAACTTCGAGGTCATTGTACCAAAAAAGGAGCTTTGGGCTCTTCTTCCTTGCACCAAGTGAAAAAATTGATATTTCTTTCACAACCTTGCTTGCTGAGCGATAAAGTTGTACAGGTTTCGAGGCGCTGCTTCTGTTTGGAGTCAAAAGCTGCGGGATTGAAGGTTGACCGTAGTCGCAAAGCTGCCGACTGCTCTCTTCTGATACACCCGCCGGCCCCCTGCAACGGCACCGAGGTGCAGCCATGCGGACTAATCTGGCTGCCGGCGGCGCCACCCACCACGATCATGGAGAGGCTGAGCAGCAGGAGCACGAGCACGTGTTTGGTGATCTGCAGCTGATCCTCGGCCTCGCACGGCGAGCCCAGCTCCGCCTCCTCTTGGCTGTAGTAGTTCCGCACGATCTCCCTGCCGCCACCACGCCGGAACGTCACGACGCAGCGACAAATGAAACACCTACGGCTCAGGCGCCTCGACAACGTGTTAG